AAAGCATCATGTGGGCGGTGCTAACGGAACACCGACCAATCAAAGAAATGCACTTGATTGACCAATTACATCGTCTCTTGTGCTTCATGCAATTACTGCCGATTTTCTTCCTCCATTTTGTTATGCATTAATTATTCGGTGATCGCACCAGCTCTTGTACATCTTGACGTTTCAGTCTTTGGCCCCGCCCCCTTTCGTGGTTCCGCCCCGTCTTTCAAAAAAATGACGTGCCCTCACAAATTTTATCATTACTGGAATATCTGATAGTAGCAGTCGCTCTTTTCGCTAGACATTATTTCGTCGACGGTTTTTTGTATAACACGCCCGTTTTGGCGACACCAACGCGGCGCGTTGAAGTCTAGAGTAGCGAGAAAGGCGATCAATAGCCATGTTTTTCACTGTCACTGCCTCTGTAATTTGCCGAAATGAACGGCACGTTTGGTGAAAGTTATTGTGCCGGGTTCATCATGTTTATGGTAGCGACCATGTCGCCGGTGCCGTCGAATTGATCAATACATATCCAGTGCATGTAAATTATCTATTTGTCGCTACCTACTTGTCTTTCAATTATGTCTTTCATGTAATAAATATGCATCGATTTTTATGATAGAACAAAAAAATCGTGATTTTACGGGGTTTTGTCCCTCGGTTACACTACGATTACTTCTTTGCGTTCTGCGTTCGTCTGACATGCTCAAGTTGAAGAACAATTGATTTTTATTGTTTAGTTCAAGACAAATCAATAAGTGCACTCATATCTTCCCAGTAGAACCTTTGAGTTATGGCATTTAGGTTACGGTAACAACACTTACTCCTAGAGTTTACTATGTGGTGACCCTATAATGTCGATCAGGTTGGCATTGGCGAAGATGTTGGCGGGATCAAGTTCAGCCTGAAAAAAATCATCGGTAAGTGTATAGTAGTGAATCAGAAATAATTATGTAACAGTGGTCGCGTCAACTTCATTGGCGCGCGCTGCACCCAGTCCTACGAGGAACTAGGGAACAGGGTCAAGCGTCTGTTGCAAAGAGTTCTCGCATAGGAGTTTAATGAGCACTGGTCGGGAGGTCTGTGTTGCGGTGACGCGCACGAACTAGTGGGTACTTCCTATTTAACTGGCTCAACATGCTGTAGCGAATCTACCTGGAATCAATTACGTCTGGAGCGAATGCTGCGCGTGTGCTGTCGGTTGGTCCACCGTGTCGTCGCTACGTGAAGTTCTCGAACGACACGCAGACAGGGCACGTTTTGGCGTTCGGAAAAACTTGCTAGACATGGTGCCCGGATTTTCCGCACGACTCCTTCCACGAGAGACC